GAAGCATCAGCAAAAATTATGTCGCAAGAAGCAAAACTAGAGAAAACCAAATGCCTTAAATATGGGAAAAGGCTATTTTGGGGGAAAAGGAACTACATTTTATTTAAAAATGGCAAAGGCAGAAAATAGTAATAATCATAATACAAAGGGCTATAAAAGTCACTTGGACTTAAAATGCAATTGAGGATACTCTTAGTAGTAGGTAACTTAAGTCATATTTTCCTTTCTGTCAACTAATAAGACTTTTAAACATTCAACCAGTAGTCTAGTGAGATGACCCGGACCCACCTCCTTCTAAAAGGCTGGAAGCCAAGGAGAGCATTAGAAACAATAATGCAAAGTGAAAAGGGCCTTCTCTCATGACCTCTGCGATAACAGGGTCACTATCTGAGAAAGGGGTATCTGTCGCTGTGTCCTGACCTCTTAAGTATGATTTGTCACCATGTGTACAAGAGCTTTCCTATCAAGTGCAAAATTTCAAGGAAGAGAAAAATGGCATCTTATTGACTGAAAGATGTGACCAAAATAAAAGTTTGGTTGCTGTCCACATTTTTAAGGAATGCCCCTTGCTCTCCATCTTGCATTCCATGAGTGTGAGTCTATAGGACTGTATGTGATTGCCCATCTGTTCTCGACTAATAACAGTATTTTCCTCTTATTATTTACAACCGATTCACTATTTTTTCCCTTTCTCTTGGGGGCATACTTGCCTCTTTTGATCTTGCAACTAAAATAATAAAAACACATAAAAACTAAAATGTGGATAGCCACACATCATTTATTTCATTTCCCTGAGTTCAATAAAGATCCATACTTGCCCAAGTCAGTGATTTCCAAGTTCTTTTTCCCCCCCTTTTCTTTTGGTTTTCCGCTGACCTTGTCTTTCAAAGTTAGTAAGTAAATAAGATAAGAATAATAGATATAAGAATAATATTTCCTAAGGACTCCAATTGGAAATCATGTAAGTAGGAAGTCGTAAGATAACAGTCAAATACATAGAATAAATACTCTGGACCAAATTTCAGGAGAAGCATCAGTTAGTGTCACTTTCCAGTCATTGGACACCTAAGAGTGGGAGTTAGATGCCACTGCTCTGAGCCGAGCCAGAAGCGTAGCAAACTGAAGACGTATTTCCATTACAATCTCCAGCACAGAGACCTAAAGAATTCTGAAGTATTAAGGAAATTAAGATAGAATCCAGTGCAAATTTCTCATGCAAAGAAAAAGAGGCAAGAAGGATTTCCAGATCAAGGTCTAACTGTTTGTAGTCAAACCAGACTAAGTCTCTGACCGCTGTTTTCCCCATGAAATGATCTTTTGTTGTGATCCATCTTTGAAATGATCAAAGGCTATAAGAATTTCTCTTTCTTAGGGGCAATTCTGTCTACTGAGTCCCCTTGGAGTTCTGAGTCAGACGAGTAATTCTGAGATTTGGGGTAGGGGGTGGGGGTGGAGGGAAATTTCTTCATAGTCTGCCAGGACTTACAAGAAATAGTAGTTTTGCTCCAATAGGAAGAACTAGAGAGAGACCACATAAAGGCCAGTCTTGCCACCCTGTCCTCAGACTGCCTGCCTTTCACTTACCCACCTCCAAATCCCTTCCATACAGAAGTGCAGATGGGAAAGTTTGCAGTTGCTCCTTCGGAGAAGGTCCTTGTACACCCCCCTACAATTAACTGCATCAAGCAAGCCTTTCTCAGCTTAGCAGCTGTCATATTGAGGAAAAGGATGACTCAACACAAAAGAACAACATATAAGAAATATGTTTTGTTATATTTAATTCGAAAAAACAGATTGCAACTACATTGTGGAGGGGGAGAAGTTACACATTTCTCAAGGTTGGCAATTGTAGAGAGTGGGATAAGAAGAATGATTAGTAGAAGCTGCTTAACTGATTTTCCTCTTTTGGTCTCATAGATATCTTCATCCCTACATTACTGTGTGATATTTATTTTGCTACAATCAGTAGTCTCAGCTCTTGACTTCATAGGTATAAACTGAAGAGTTGTTTACTAGCCATTCTGGAAATGTAAAGGATATTTAGGTAGATTAGAGTTTTCTGAGCCTCAGAAATTAATGATGATCAGTTAATCGATCTGATACTAGCATAAATGAAAAATCTTAAATTAATGATGCATGAGCATGCATGTATGTGTGAATGTGTGTACAGACTGAAATAAAAGAGAGCACAAGAAAAGTTGTGATACCTGGTTTTGAGAAGCAAAAATATGTCCTCCCAATTTCTTCCCTCTTAAGTATTAATGACTACTAAAAGGGTAGCAGTTTGCTTTAACATCACGTTCCACTTTGACAAAAGAATAGAGGCACATACTCGCATACCCCAAATTATACTTGTGAATAACCAAGTATATTCTAGCATGTTCTTCAAAGGATTTGTAGGTAATACTCTTCATGCATTTAGCCGAAGTGGGCACTCCTTCCTAAGGTTTAAGAAAACATGCAAGCCACAAAGAATGCTTGCAACTATTATTTTTTTTTCTTGGTTGGCAAACCAGATACCTTTCCTCTGGGAAAGTGCTTCAGGCCAAAACAAAGCCATATTCATTCAAAATATATTGTTTAGCCCCAGTGCAGACTTTGGATTACACCAAATTTACTTTCAAGGCAAGAATCCCACTTGTCTAGGAAAGGCTTTTATGTGACTGGGAGCCAGAAGACAGAGGCTAAAACCTGAAAGGAAAGGGCCCTGCCAAGAGCAGGAGTAGTTCAAGAAACAACAACGCAAGTGCCTGGGAAGGAAACAGGGCAATATGGACATGATTTCATCTGGGGTCAGGCCCGAGCATCTGGCCGACTTTATTTATAAGGCAATTGTCAGTTCAATCTCCAGAATATGGATGAGGTAAAACGCAGAGGTAGAGTATTATTCTAGATCATCTGTTACTTTTCAAATATAACCTTCATGCTGAAATTCCAGGGAGAGTGTAAGTGACTCCAATAAAGAAACCTGTCAGTCAGTCAAGAGTGTTTATTTATTATCCCCCTGGGCCAGGGACTGTTCTAGCTAATATGAAATGATACAAAATAAAGGATAGTCATCACCTTTATAATCTCACCAGAGCAAATGGACGAAATCCGAAGACACCCCACCCCCATAGCCACTCTCAACGTGGGTGGTCGAGAGACTCAACTCAGTGAACATAGAACAGCCTCATTTGGAAAAGTCCTGATTAGAATATTCAACTTAACTAAATTAGAAAAACTGTGGAATAATTTATTTTTATGACAAATGGATCCAAAATGATCCTGAAAGCATGTGCCTTTATAAAACAATCTCATTTTGTCAGCAAAATTGGGGAAAAAAAAACAACCTTACACCCTCAACCCTGCTCATAGATCTATCTAACAAGGGAATTGGGGAATATATTCGGTGTTCAAATAGGAGTTACACTGACGTTGAGCAGCTCCAAAACAGACAAAATCACAAGGCATGTGTGCAGTAAACATGTTTTGTTTTGTTGTGTTGTGCTTGGGCAACACTCAGCAAGCTCCTTTGTTCGGTACTTCCGAGTGGGGGGCGGGGGGAAGTGTGTCCAGGGATTGAACCTGGGTCAGCGGCCTCTAAGGCAGCCCACGTCCTATCTCTGCTGCCCTGAACTAAGTTCTTAAGGTCAAAGACTGAGCCTTTTTTCTTTGCTATCCTCCACTAAGAAGCCTGAAGTAATCAAGGAATAGTATGAATGAATGGAATAGATGAGTCAAGATTTTAAAGAGGGGTTGTGTTTAGTAGAAGTTTAACTGGTGCAAAAGAGGATCTAAGGCCTGAGAAGCAGAGAGGCTGCCGTCCAAGGGCCGTGAGAGGTTTGGCAAGTTAATGTGACTGCGGATTGCAGAAGGGCCCGGTCTGATCCCTGAGGACCATGCCTATGACCCAACTACACCTGACGCTTGTCCAAGGAGTCTCCGGGCTTCAGTAGAGCGCTTTGCAAAGACCGGAAGGACAGTTCTTTTCGAGGAAACCTGGGAGACCCCACTCTATTCAGTGTGCACCTTGAGGCCACAACCTTCTTTTCAGTCCGTCCTTGCGTCCCGGAATAGGTCGAATTACTTGCAAGGATTTGTTGAACAAGAAAGCGGGTGGTATTTCTGTATTGCCCGCCGTGGCACCGCTTGCTGGGGGTTACTTGCAGGCGTCCACGGGGACTGGACGGCAAGCTGCACGAGGCCAGAGATGTTAGTCCCGGTTTCCCTGCTCCTCCTCCTCATCTCAGAGCCCTGCCTGACGGTAGCGCTCCAGTTGCATACAACTAGTCGCAGGCATGAAGGCAGTTATTTTTCTTCTGGCCCGCTGTCATTAACTTCTGCTTCTTCCAGCACCCCCCCCCCCCCCCCCGACACACACACACTCTTCAGACAGAGTACAACAAACCGAAGGGAAATCTCTGAGCTCTAATTTCCCGTCTTTTCAGCCCAGAAACTCGGGCCAAGAGTCTGGGACCAAGAGCCCTGTGGGAACGGGGATCCCCTCGGAAATTCAGGACTGATCGGTCACCCCGGGAGGCCGTGGAACGAGGAGCGGGGGGCGGGAAGTTATTTTCCCGTTTGCAGCAGCACCCGTCGCCACCCACCCTGCTCTGTAGGGTGGTGTGTGTGTGTGTGTGTGCGTGAGCGTGTGCGTGTGTGTGTGTGTTGGGGACAGGGGGGCTCGGGGGGGGGGGGGTCCCGTGCACGGAAAACCGGGACCCGCTGGGGCCGTGGCTTCCCACCCGTGCAGCCCGGGCCGTACCAGCACCTGTTGGACGGCGGGTTGGTGGCCTTGGCCCGCGCGGGCCCGGGGACAGCCCCTCCCGGAGCGCCGACCCCCGCCCGCGCTCGGGGCGGCCCCCGGGGCCGCGGCTCAGCCTCCCCCCCCCCCCCGCTCGGCGCCGGGCTCGGCCCCCCGGCCCCCTCCTCCCGCGCGCCGCCGGGCAGGGCTGTGGTGGGGGGGGGGGGGGAGGGAGAGAGGTGGGGGGTGGAAGGTGGCGAAGGGGAGGGGACAAGCGGGAGGCTCCGGGCCGTCCGGCCTGCTCTCTCCACCGGGTGCCGAGACGCCGAGCCGCGCCCCGAGGTTTGCAACGGAGCCCGCGGCGCGGGGGGAAGGGGCCGGGAGACGACGGGGAGCTCCGCCGCGCCGCACAGCTGCTGCAGTTCGGCTTGCAAGGGGGGCGCCGGGCCGGGGTGGGGGGCGCAGACGAACAAGGTGAACTTTGCTCGCGGACAAAAAAAAAAAAAGCAAAGCAAAGCAAAGAAAAGAACAAAAAAAAAACAACCAAAGCAAAACAAAAAGACTCCAGCCAGGTGCCGGGGATCGGCGCGCGCCGCAGCTCGGGACCCCAGTGCCAAGCGCGCGCGCGGGGCAGGGCCGGGGGTGGGGGGAGCCGGAGCCCCCCCGGGGAGCCGCCGCCGCCACCGCCGCGAACCTCCCGTTGTTTCTTCCCCCTCCCCCTCGGGGGTGGGGGTGGGGCGGGGAGCGGGGCGCCCGCCGCGCCGCATCGATTGGCAGCTTTTGTTATTGATCACACCCCGCGGGCCGCCGACTCGGCCGCTGCGGGGCGGGCCGGGCGCGACCCCGGAGTTGGCGCCTCCGTCCTGGCCCCCGAAACTGACAGGTGCTCGCAAGCAACTTGCTGGTGACTCCTCGCCGCTCCCCAGGCTCCCCCGCGTCCCCACCCCCCCCGCCCCCCTCTTTCCTCCCTCGCCTTCTCCCCCCCCCCCCACACCCCCACCCCCACCACCGCCCCCACCACCACTTCGGCAACAGCTCAGGATTTGTTTAAACCTTGGGAAACTGGTTCAGGTCCAGGTTTTGCTTTGATCCTTTTCAAAAAACTGGAGACATAGAAGAGGGCTCTAGGAAAAGTTTTTTGGATGGGATTATGTGGAAACTACCCTGCGATTCTCTGCTGCCAGAGCAGGCTCGGCGCTTCCACCCCAGAGCTGCCTTCCCCTGGCGGTGGTGAAAGAGACTCGGGAGTCGCAGCTTGCAAAGTGCCCGCGGTGAGTTGAGCTCTCGCCCCAGTCAGCCAAATGCTCCTCTTCGGGCTTCTCCTGCTGACATCTGCCCTGGCCGGCCAGAGACACGGGACTCAGGCTGAGTCCAACCTGAGTAGTAAATTCCAGTTGTCCAGCAACAAGGAGCAGAACGGTGAGTCTTTCGCCTCTCCCCCCCACCCCATCCCACCCGCCCCCCCAACGCTCCCCCTGCTCGTTTCTCGTTGTGTGTGTGCGTGTATGTGTGTGTGTGTTAATGTTGGCATTGTGCGTTGGGGTGTGATGTGCACCAGCCCGCGTGGGGATCCGGCGCAGCGTCTCTCTCTGGAGCCATGCAAATGCGCGCTGCGTTCATTGGCATGGACTTTTGGAGGTGAAGTGTAGTTTGCAACTTCGGGAGCTGCCGCAAAACTCAAAGGGGAGAGAGAGAGGCGTGAGTGCCTCTGCCCAGCGCAGCTCCCAGAGAGGCGATTCTGGGAATGATTGTGAACGTCAGTTCAAAACGCACACATTGCAGGACCTCTCGGTGCCAGAATTAAAAGTTCAAGAACGGCCTCTGAAAAAAAAAAAAAGAGAGAGAGAGAAACGAATCCCAGATGAATGAGTCTTGGCATGTTTGACTTTGCTCGGAGGTTCTATTTTTTTTTTTTAATTGGGTAGGGGGGTGTTTCAGGAAACGTATCAGCCGCATTAATTGAAGCGCGCTAAATGGAAAGGCTTCAATTAGGCAGTAGATAGGAAACCCAGAGGTCAAGAGGCCTCGTGGACGTTTTTAGGAGGAATTGAAAAATGTATTTCTCTTGCGCGCTCTCTTTCAGTCTCTCTCTCTCTCTTTAATGTGCCTTTGTATTCTGAAGTCCTTACCTTTCTGGTTGGTGTGTTTTTATATGTGTTGGTGAATGACTGCTATTTTGTGTGTGCTGGAAACGACTTAATCCTGCATAGGAAATGAGAATTACTTTCAGCTTTCAAGTGTACCTGAAATGTTTAGAAAACTCTCAGATGCAAGTTCCCTTGGGCTGGGATTGCAAAGAGCCGGAGAAAGGCTTCTTTCATAAAGCCAGAGCAGCTTCGGGGTGTGTAATTTGCTTAGCCTCTGAACCCCATATGATTTACATCATTCAATTTCTAAACTCCTTTTCTCTTGATCTACCATTATGAAGTCATTTTTGAGAATACTTTGTAAATAGAAATTTTATCCTGCACATGAAACCACAATGTTAATGCAGGCCGTCTAAAATTGGAATATTAAACACCATGTTTACAAGTGGTGGCTCTTAATGTTATTTGAAGAGAAATGTACATGTTTTTACTGCTTTGAATATCATCTATTCCGAATGCAAGAATGCAGTCACTTCATGAACCCGGTGAAAGGCACCCAGGCAGCATACCTAGAAAATCAGAATGGTGTGTGCCTCTTGTTTTCTGTCCCAGAAAGTTTCTCTTTATGTCCTGGGGGGTGGGGGGACGTTTGAAGCTTCAACTTGGAGTGCAAACTCTCTAAGGCTTGAAGAAGCATCGGACATGCTAGAGTGTCCCCTCCCTCCCCCCAAAAAAAAAGATAAAATAAGAACTTCAGGGATTTTTGTGAAGATGATGGACCACGTTTGCCACAGTCCCTGCCATCACGTTTACCAGCTCGCGTGCTGCTTCTTACACTTGGCTAATGCGATGGCGCATGGCACCTGCAGGCAGCTTGAGCTGCTGATCAAAGGGCAGCCTAGGAATCTATCTCTAATCACAGGAGCTGCAGAGGACTGGGGAAAAGTGATCAAAGGAGCTACAGCACCAGCTGTACCCTGGCAGGAAGCAGATCAGACCAACCTTTGTTCTTTCTCGTGTAAAATAAATGTCCACTCCGAAATATGGCTTCTTCCTAGACAAGCTTCTCTGAGATGACCATGCCTAATATCCCTGGCTTCTGGCTTCTGTTTTGCGCGCGTCCCATCTCATTTCTCCTACTGTTCTTCTTTTATCAGGCCTGCCCTGGCAGCTGTCCTCTTCCTGATTCCTTTGGCAACTTATGCCTCTCATTGTCCTTTCCTTGTCCAGCTTTCTTGCGAGCCACATACCATCATCACTTTGTAAAGGGCCCCCAGAGCTCTCATTGGCCACTTAACCAAGTAGAGGTGAGTTCATTAAGCCAGGCCACACACACACACACACACACACACACACACACTGTTGCCATCAGAAACTGGCCATTTCCATTCCTAAGATGCATGATGCTAAAAATAACCTGGCTGTTTCCTAATCTGTGAGCAGAGGATTGGGCTATGTTTAGCTCTTGGGAGGGTTGATTACAGGAAGTAACTGGAAGTAGAAGAACTTACCACTCACCTTGTAGCTTTTCGCCTAGGGAGAGGCAGAACTGGCCAGCACTAGAGGGCGATAGAGAGCTATTTTCCTGCACATGCTCAGGTTGATTTTTCCGCTGAGGGGTTCCAAGGTTTGAAGATTCAGGTAGGTGCTCTAGAAGAATCCACTGGAATGTGAACATATTTCCTCAACTGTTTTTTTCTCTCCTTTAAAACTTTTTAAAATTCCTTTGACGTTTATTATTCCCTTCTATGGGTTTCTAATTGATTCAGGATGGGGTTTTGATCAATTATCTAATTCTGCAACTATACACCCTGAGGGTACCACTTCGCATATGTGATTGGCCCAGCTTGTGCAGTGCTTCATTTAGAGGAAATACCTAGGAAGTAGCCAATATAAATTGTCAACGTTGTGACTGTCAAACAAGTTCTCTCTTGCCTCTTTCATCTCTCCCCTTAACTACTCATTCCAAAGTCGTGTTGACTCTTAGCAAATCCACAGTCCTGCTCAGTATCTATACTTGGTGTATCAAGAAGTGTCATTATGGAAACTTAGTACTAGAACCACAATTGGTTTCCAGGGATGAGTGTCACCTTGTTATTAGTGACCAGGTTTTGAATTGATACTATATAGCTGATGTTGTGACATTACATTAAAATTGCTTTAGTGTCCAGTTTTATAATTGACTCTTTGTTCTTTATTCTTAACTTGACTTCCAACTCTTGAAGTCTAACACAGGAACTGAGGGCCACCAAATTTGACTGAAAGAAGAAGATGGAAATTAAGATTTACATAAGGCTTCTAGCCTCTGCTTTCTGAGCAAGGACAAAAATACTGTCGTATTGCATATCCGGAATGCAATCAAACCCCCACCAATCTTACTTTCTCAGTTGTGCTGCTAAAAGCCCAAAGAATTACCTGTCACAAGTTGTTGAGTGAAAAACCTCATCTACCTTGTCATTCATTGATGGGTGGTTTCATATCATATGGAGATGAAGCCTCCTTCTTACCTTTTTCCATTTTCTTTAATCATTTGGGTGTAGATTCGGAATATGCCTTTATAAGCTGGCTGACATGTCTGACAACCCTCGGTCTGACATTGTATGTGTTCTTTTCTGTGAGGTCTTTTGTGGCACATGGAGCCATGAGTGATGCATGTCTGAATAGACGTGTCTGGTGTTTGTAGACTTTCCTGTCTCATTTTCCCCGTGGGAGAGACACCACCTGTGTCCCACCAAACTGCCCATGTCTCTTGTCCATCCTTCTCAAGTGCTTACTTCCAAGTTCTATTTCATTCACCAGCTCTGAGTTGCTGTCGCTGAGTAAACAGACCCCGATGAGACAAAAGGGACTTTCCTGTGAGTCCCTAAGTTAGAGTGCATGACCTTCGTGACACATATTTTTGTTGCTTCTGACCTTTTTAATTAAAACTTCCTCCTACTTCTCTGCTCTGTTTGAGATCTTTGAGGAAGTGGAAGAAGTAAAGTGGCATTATGTAATGATGAATATTGTTTTTCACAAAAGGTGACGAAAAGCCCCAGTCTGATGCAGGGTAACTTTTTTTTCCCTCCTTATTGTTATCATCTACAGTTAATCTGATGTCCTTTTGTATTGACCTCCAAAAGGTTACACTAAAGTACATAGTTCTTTAGGAAGCTCCAGAGACAATGAATCATTTGTTAGACATTCTGGAGAGATGCTATGGTTCTTTCTTTCACATTGACCTGGAGGTATATTTTTTGGATCAGGCTCTCAGCTTCTTAGCTTTGTCTACTCCTGTATCTTTTTTCCTGTCTCTGCTTCATATACCTGGCGGTCTCATTATTTGAAGTGCTTAAGCTCTGATTTATCTGCAACATGCATACTTGGAGTAGAAGTATAATTCTAAGGATAATGTGATATGTTAACTAATTTTTGAGTCAGTGCATTTGTACTATTTTGTCCCGTCCTCGTCCCCAACCCCCAACTTTTCCAGGGTGGCTACATTTTCATCACAGGCTCCTGTTGGTTTCAACCCAAATGGTGATGTTGGAATGCAAGTTCTTTACCCCATTTAGCTTAATTTGGATGTTTCTAATGGTTTTATTTGCAAAGCATGGTACAGAACCAGAGTATTTCTATATCACGAACTGTCATTTCTATGGAACTCATTTTAAAAGTGGTCCCTGTGTATTAATTTTCCACACCATTGCCTCTGTGGCTTGTTCTGTTTTGGAATCTTCTTTTCCTGTATTTAAGGACACCTTGAGTGTTTGATTTTGAAATGGTATTCACCAGTATTACCAGTTAAACTGAACTGTTTGGAACTGCAAAGGAACCGGTGCAATCTGATTGGTCAGCGTGAATCCCCACAGTGATTGTCAAACATGATGGTACATCTAGCTCTAGGTTATTTAGCTCTTCCTAGAGTCTTCTCGACCTGCTTGGCTTGCCCCTTGCTCTGAAGTCTCTGAAATAAGAACTGGGCTGGGCCTCCTTCAAGCCTTATCCCTGAAGTTCTCTCTCTTTCTCGCTTTCTCAACACTTGGAGGGTTGCTGCCTGAGAGATATGCTGGGGAAGGGGAAAATAATACTTGGCATAAGATTTCCAGCCTGGGTTGTTTCTGCTTTTCTGAGAAACACCCACTATCAGCTTTTAGTCACATGTGCCATTCTTTCTTCTAGATGAATGTCTTTTGCAGTATTTGGATCTGAATTTGCCATTACCACATCAGAGTAACTTATTTCCATAGCACTGGTATGTTTTGGACAATTTTTTCTTGTCAGTTTGTTCAATATTTTGTTGGAAGCCTACCCCAACCAACACCTCCATAAAATGTAAGTTTCTTGGGGGTC